ATTCGTTCTATGACAAATCCTGAAGACTGGCATCACGTGCCAGGTCCATTGAATACAGCAGATCTTCCATCAGAGGGGTGTACGATGCCGAAACACTACGAAAATCTCGATGGTGGGAAAGACCATCGTGGCTGAGGAAAACCAATAGAAGAATGGCCAAAGTTTAGAATAGTTCCCGATTTCGATATAATAAATTTAGAAAAAAGAAAGACAATTGGTAGCACAGTTACTCACGAAAAGATCATCCCAGGAAAAATATCATAACCGATTCTCTTCGTACAACCAACCTTTTAGAGTCACTGCTTCGATGTATCGATTTTTTACCAATTGTAAGGTTGAAAAGTCTAATCTAATTTCTGGAAATCTTGACACTAGAAGAAATAAATAAGGCAGAGACAGCGTTGTTGAAAGTTGCACGAAAGGAATCATTTTCAGGACCGGATGATAAATTCTTGAAAACGATTCAGTGTTACGTTGATTCTAATGGTGTTTTGAAAGTTAAGACTCTAATTCTAATGTGAAAAGATACAAGAAATTTCCGATATCTGACAAAACTACCCTGTAGTCATCCAGTTACAGAAAAAATCATCCGACCAGACACACGCAATTACACCATGCGGGAGTTCAAATCCTGATGAGCAACATAAGAGAGGAGGTTTGGAATTTGAAATGTAGGAAGACAGTAAGAAATGTAATTAGGATCTGTGTAAAATGTAAACGGTTTAATTTGCGGGCTAAGTCGATCATAGAAGTTTTTCTCCCAGACGATCGCATAAAGGAAGCTGCAGTCTCAGGAATGGATTACGTTAGCCCATTAATCCTAAGAAATGGCCAGAAAGCTCGGATAGTTATACTTACCTGTGCCATTTATCGAGCTGTACATCTGAGTTAACTACATCTTTATCGACAGACCATTTTTTTCAAACTCTTAGACGTTTCATCGCTCGAAGGGGTCGACCTTCCATCTTTTACTGTGGCAATGGTTCTAATTTTTCAGAAGCTGTGAATTTGCTGAAGAAAAATGATTGGGACGTCATTTCTCAATACAGTGGATCTCAAAGGATCATTTATAAATTTAATCCCCCATCTGTCCCATGGAGGGGTGGGTGGTGGGAACGTTTGATAAGTATAATAAAAGGAATTCCACGAAAGGTTCCAGGAATAATTTCACTAAATTTAGAAGAACCGTTATTTGTGACATTGAAGGAGTGATTAATCAGCGACCGTTAACCTATATTTCAGAAGATGTTGATGATTCAACTCCACTTACCCCTTCTATGTTTTTGCATGACCTCAAAGAAGCAAGAATTCCAGAATTTGATGTTCTGGATTCGTCGTCTCTAAATAAAAGACATGTTTATCGACAGCGTGAGAAACAAGATTTACGAAAGCGATTTCATACTGAGTATTTGGGCCATTTATGCCTATAAGGTTATTCTCCCGCTTTCCTAGCGTGCCTTCGTGGTGTAGTGGTTCTGCACACAGGGCCGGTATTCGAGAGGTCCGTGGTTCGATTCCCGGTGAAGGCGGTTGCTAATTTTTCATCTCTCCGGCGTCCAAAAATCCTAATGTCTCTACATGTCAATAATCGAAATCTCATAAAAATCAGAAATCCATCCAAATTTGTAATTTTGTTCTGGTTTCTAGTGGCAACGTCAAGAAAACTGAATATCCTCTAGCCCGGGTGATCAAACTCTATCCTTCTAAATATGGACAAGTTCGCCTGGTAAAACTAAAAATGAAAAGCGGAGAAATTCTCCGCCTAGTGCTCAGGTTAATACCTCTTGAAGTGACTAATAAAAGTGACCCCGTTATACTATAAGGTATTTCTCCCGCCTTCCTAGCGTGCCTTCGTGGTGTAGTGGTTCTGCACACTGGGCAGGTAATCCAGAGGTCCGTGTTTCGATTCCCGGCGGAGGAGTTTGCTAATTTTTCATCTCTCCGGCCTCCGAAAAAATCCTGATGTCTACAATACCTGTAGCCGAACAGGCTTTTATTCCCAGTGAACCGAAGACTGTTGAAGATCATCTTTCAGAGACAGCTTCTGACAAGCCAGTACTAGCTCAAAAGACAACTCCTCGTAAGCAAAGAACTGTTAATGACTTTTTTCCAGAGACTCTGTTCCTAGAAAAAGATCCAGATATGGATGATTAATTAAACCTAAAATTAGAGTTTGAGATTCTCTGGTTCGAATCTCAAAGGCGAGAGTATGTTGCGATACGTGATGTTTTCACCTTTGAATTGAGTTTTTCGCATGCATGCGCATAACGGAGTGAGCTGAAAGGAAATGATTATGTAAGTTTTCACCGCGCGCTCGAGGAGTTATGATGTAATATATGTTCTTTTTGTTAGTTTATAAATGTTTTAGAAAGTGGATGTTCAGTTTTGATATTTGTTATAACGTTTTGTAAAACTTGTGCACATATATTAAATATAATTGAAAAAGGTGATCCTGAACGCTTGATGTTTTACGTTGTACAGTTTCCTCGAACACTTTTGATAATCCGAAAATGAACAAATGATGTATCTCATCGATTCAGGTAAGCCCTGTTTTACTTACCTCCTATTTGAGTACTTTCAGTACAGAGAAAGTATATTAATATTGCCTTGGGACAAAATAGACATATCAGGGAAGTTGATGACTGGAGTTATAAACTTCTACACAATAGTCTTTCAGTCACTGAAACAAAACTAGGGTGGACAATTATAGGTCGCATTCCATCAGCGTTGTCCAGTGAGAGCACAACTTTGATTTCAATGTTAAATAAAAATGCTTGTATAACAGATTTGTAACTATTACATAGTTTAGGTATCAGAGACCCTTCCGAAAGCAAAACAAAATGCGAAGAGGAAACTGTGAAGTCCCATTTTTTTTAAATACCGTGAAAATCGAGAACAAACGTTTTATGTTAGGTCTACCACATATTGAAGGTCACCATCTGCTTCCAGACAACTATCACTTATCTCTCAAACGATTGAATATTACATTGAGGAAATTGAAAGCCGATAGCTTATATGAAGACTAAGGAAATATATTTCAGGATTGGGGGAAAGAAGGTATCATTGAGGATGTACCATTGAATGAAAAAGATGTTCCTTGTCATTATCTGGAGTCCAAACCTCATAGAACTGATTCCTTCTATTTTGACTAGATGTCGTTTAGGCGAAATAGGTGTCGTTGCAGATATTCGAAAAGCCATTCTCCAAATAAGCCTTTAAGCAAATGAGAGAAATTTCCTAAGATTCCTGTGGGTAAATAGTAACAATGAATTGAAATTTTATCCTCACTGTAGAGTTGTGTTCGGAGTTTCAAGTAGTCCTTTCCTTCTTCGAGCTGTTATTCAGCATCATTTACAGACACTTCTAAGCCAATGCGTAGAAGGACAGTCCATTTATCCAAAAGGAATTATGCAGAAACTTCTTAGTAGTTTTTACGTTGACAACTGTGTCACGAGTGTGAAAGAGGAATCTGAATTAAAAACTTTCATAACATTAGCTTCAGAAATAATGGCAGAAAGCCAGTTTGATTTGAGAGGATGGGAAAATACAGATTCTTCAAGACTTTCTCTTAGCTCTACAATGTTATTGGATTAATATGGAACAAAATGAGAGATACCCTCCAAGTTAATATATCCAGATACCCTCCAAATGAATATATGTACAGAGAAAATAACGAAAATAACTATTCTAGCTGCTGCTCACAGAATCTTCGATCCTTTTGGAATTGCTTGTCCAATAGCCTTAATTCCCAAACTTGTTTTGCAACATTTATGGAGAGCAAACATCAGTTGGGATCAGGAAGTAGATGAAGATATAAAGAAAGAATTTTAAAAATGGATGAAATATGTATCTTTTTTCATCTAAAGTTGAAGTCCCAAGATCGATCAAATTTGGTAAAGTAAATAATTCAGAATTCTTTACATGTGTTTCGTGATGCAAGTCAATTCGCATATGCGACAGTAGTCTTTCTTCCTGTTGAAAAAGAAAATTCTGTGTACACTCAATAGGATGGCTAGAGCAAGAATTTCACCTTGTGGAAAAAGAACTAGCGTTGTACGATTGGAGCTTCTTGGTGCTACTATTGCTGTAAGACATTTTTCAAGCATACTAAAAGATCTTCCAGTTTAAACGGTTTACTGTTGGACCGATTCAACGACTGTGCTCGCTTGGATAAGAAGAGGAGATTCGTGGGATGTTGTCGTCCATAATGGAGTAAAAGAGATATAGATTTGACATCTAAAGAAACCTGGAGATATGTTCCCGGTACAATGAATCCAGCAGATCTTTCTAGCAGAGGTTGCTCTGGGCCACATTTAGGTCCTTCGCGACTCTATCTACATGATGAAATGTGGCCTGTCACTGCAGATATTACTTGTGAAGAGGAAGTAAACAGAGACGGAATGAAAAAAATCGTATCCGCTATGTTGATTTCTGGAGTGAGCACTTTGCTAAATTCTCATCTTATGGATTATGAAAAAGCAGTAAATATCATGAGTTGAATAAGGAGATTTGTCTACAATGGTCGGCATAAGCAGAAAAAGAAAAGAGGGAATCTCAGTGTATCTGATATGGATGAAGCAGAAAAATCAATAGTGTATCTAATACAACAAGAATCCTTTAGTGGGTTAAGAGATAAACGATTACAATCTTTGGACACATTCCTTGATAATGGAATTATACGACTGAAATCAGCTGTACTCCGAAGAGATGATCATGAAGAATTTAAAACGTCAGCAATTTTACCAGGAGAACATCCACTTGTGAAACGTTTAGTGTTAGAAGATCACCAGAGAAATGGGTATGCTGGTGTCTCATACACTTCGAACTCTTTAAGACTCTTTAAGACAGAAATACTGGCTTCTCTGCGGAAGGAGAGCCGTTAAACATGTATTGAGATCTTGCATTATTTGCAAGCGATTTGCAGCTAAGGTAATAATCCTCCAAGTGCGCCACCACCTGCAGATAGAGTTCAAGACGCTGCTGCATTTCAGATAACAGGAATGAACTTTGATGACCCAGTGATTCTAATAGGTAACTCAAAAGCTTGGATTGCCCTTTTCACCTGTGCGATGTATCGTGCCGTTCACCTCGAATTAGTAACATCTATGTCAACAGAGACATTTCTACTAGCTTTTCATTGTTTTGTTGCTCGCAGAGGGAAACCTTCAGTCGTGTATAGTGATAGTGGGACTAATTTCAAAGGAGCTGCCAGTGCTTTAATTGAGTTTGAGAAACTTTTCCATGAAGCAGGAAAACACATAACTTGGAAGTTTATACCACCTATTGCTCCTTGGTGGGGAGGTTGGTGAGAGAGACTTGTAGGAATGATGAAAAATATTTTTAAAAAAACTCTAGAAAGAGGCAGTTCTGAGGCTACTTTTTTTGAGTTATGCGAGTTACGTACTTACGTACGTACAAACGCCACGAAAAAAATCTCTTCAAAATTCCTTTTTACCAGGAGAACATCCACTTGTAAAAAGTTTAGTTTTAGAAGATCATTACAAAAATGGGCAATATAATTTTTTTGGGGAAAACGAGTCCTTTATTCTGTCCTTACGTACAAATGTCACGCAAAATAAATCGTTAAATTGCATTCGATAGCTGTCAAAATGGATATTTTCGTTGAAATATGGTACCCGAAATTTTTCGCGATTACAATACTTCCTTTTTACTTCGTACAAGGAAGTAAAAACGAAACTTAAAAAACTTACACTGAAAGAAATATTTAATAAAACAAAAAAATATTGAGCATTTTATTCTGCAAATTTTGATTCTGTTAAGGTCATAAATGCTTCATTCCTCCATAAACAATTATTTCAGTTTTTTATTTTATAATTTGTACATGTTACCTTAGTAGAACGGAATAAATAACGGCATTTGTTTGCAGATTTCACAACAGAGTTGTAGAGACATTAGGTTAATTGAAAGCCGGAGAGATGAAAAATGAGCAATCGCCTTCGCCGGAAATCGAACCACGGACTTCTGAAATACCGGCCCAGCGTGCATAACCACTACACCATGAAGGGATACTAGGAAGGCGGTGGAAATACCTTATATACTCCCCCTTTTAAAGAGCGACTGGGATTTTTAGAGAACCCAATTGCCAAATCCTGGGTGTGGAGAATCATCATCCACAACCCCCTTAGTTTGGGCGCCACTCTGTAGAGACATTAGGTTAATTGAAAGCCGGAGAGATGAAAAATGAGCAATCGCCTCCGCCGGGAATCGAACCATGGACCTCTGAAATACCGGCCCAGAGTGCAGAACCACTACACCACGAAGGCGGGAGAAATACTTTATAGAGTGTTCTAAAGCAGTCTCTTTCTTTCAAATTCCAAAATTCGTTTGACAAAATATGATTAAACGCGCTAACGCGAACTGTTTGCGCAAACGATATTTGCGGTGGAGGGAAACGTTCGTTAAAACCCGATACTTAAACAGCCTTTAAAGTTCTGTTTGGAAGTTTGGGAAATACTATTTTAATACTGCTCACAATATTGCTTTGTATTCTCTTGGGACAAATAAGGTAGTTTACAAAAAGTTCTTTTATTCTTAATTGTGTGGTATTGAGGATAGCATTTTATTGTATAAAATATTGTTAAATGCTTAAATTAAATTATTCCAGCCATTCTTTTTTTAAATAAAATTTCTCTCTTTTTTCCTTTTCAAGTAATAAATCACAAATTGATTTAGATTTTCTGATCTCGGATATTTTCTAAAGGAGCCTTGATAACGAAACGTAGAAACAACACTAACTCCAAGGGCAATTTATTGAAAATTTCGAAGAAATTATTTTTTAGATATCCACTGCTGCTTTTAATGCAGAACTGTGTCACAAATTTACATAATTTATTTATTTCAGATAGTCTTTGACCAATTTTAAGAAACAGTTTCCAGTCTTAGTTTTATTTCTAATTTCTCCCATAAAAGGAAAAAAAGAAGAATGCGGCTTACAAAGAATTCTATTTATACTTGTCAGTAATACATACCTTTAGTGAATTACATTTTTCACGGTAAGTTTCCTTTAAAAGCTTATTAACGCGAATTAAAATTTGAACGAAATTTCATTGCGGGCAACATCACATCAGCGCGCAGTCGCTTTCAGCTTCGCAGATGATAATGGAGCAGAGTAGCGCATGCGCCCTAAGCACGCGTTCTTGACAGAAGCGGCTCCTGTCATGGCGGCTTCTGCACGGCTCCATGTTCATCTCCTCTCACCGCCCGGCAGACGAGGCTGTTGAAAAAAAAAGGGTAAGGTCGCCTTTCCGACTGATTTTTATTTATTTATTTTTTTAATTTTGCTTTCTCATTTGTGGTTATTAAAAGTACAAAAGGGCAAAGCTAACAGACTTTTCTCTGAGGATGTAAAAAAGATGCTATCGAAGCATAAATTAACCTTACATTTTAAATATCGTGATGACATTCAATTAGAGATCACAATAAAATGAAATAGTTTACTTTACATAATAGGTGATTCAGCACATTAAGTGACGAATAATTTGAAATGAAAACATTTTTATCACAGTCTTGAAAAATAATTTATAACAAAAAGAATTTGCTACTCTTTTAATAGAAAACAGAATCTGGCAGTAAGAAAAATCAATTTTAGTTTCTTTTTTTGTAACTTTATAAATGTTTCTTTTAATAATTTATTGAGTGGCATTGTTGCTGTTATTCTGCAAATGATTTTAAAAGGAATTATGTTTCATAAAGCATGAGTTCACACTGCGAAATATTTGAATGAAAAGATTTCATTATTGAGCGTGTAATTTTGAAATACTCTCTATTACTGAAATTCCTAACATTACGTTTTACTGCGAGTCAAAACCGTCTAAAAAAGCCGCCGTTTTCCATAGTCTCGTGATTTTTTTTTTTTTTTTTTTTTTTTTTTTTTACCATAATGTGAATTAGAATATGGCAATTTAAACTGAAATGATGCGAGGAACTGAGCACTTGATTTATTCAGATGTCATCCGTTTTCTTTCTGTTCTTTATTTCCCGGCAGCTCGTTCTGTGTAAACCACATATGTGTTAAACGTTTGTTTAAACTATACTTTCTTAAGCTATGGGTCTCGACCCCAAATGGGGTCTCAAATCAAAATTTTGGAGTCGCGAAAATTCAGTACGATAATTAAATTTAAAGAAACTGCATTTGTTAGAATTTTAAAGAAGTTGCATTAATTGACATTAGTGAGATTAGACTTTTCAAGACATTACATTAATTGATATTAATGCGATTAATTACCTGTTATATAAAGTGCAAAAGGAATTTGTAAAACTAACTAGCGATTCAAACTTAAAACTTGAGTTTTCACAAAAATCCTCGATGAATTCTGAATCGGAATTAGAACTAGATTTCTGACTGTCTGAAAATTAAATGTTCTTTTCTCATTCAGCACTATATATTTTTTATGAAACTACTTCTTCAGATTTAACGATAATTAAAACCAAATGTCATTCAACCTTGAAGCATGTTGAAAGTGCTTTATGTCTAGCAGTGTTAAATATCACACCAACATTTGTTATGCAGCAGAAAACAAACCAATTTGTCTCATTAGAATTTTCTTTAATTTTTCGTTGCTTAAAATAAATCCTAAAACTACTTTTTATATGTATATTATTTACCAAAGAAGTAAATTATTTGTGGGAGGATATTTTTATATCTTATTTTCTATTTAATATCTGGGTTCGCGAAAATATTCTCAGTGATAAAAGGGATCGCGATTGAAAAAGGTTTAAGAACCCCTGGTTTAAACATACCTTTATCTGTCTGGCAGATGTCTATCTTTTCACGACAAGCTAGCAATATCATAAACTTTCCATTTGGAATTTTAAAAAGTATGAAACTGGTGATAAAACATTCTTCCATCACACATATGTCGATTTTCTTTCTTATCTTCATCATCTTAAATAAATTTTGTAATTAAATTTAAATGATAAACATTTTATAGATTCACTAATCGGAGAAAACCTTTGAATGTTCTAAACGCTAATTAAACTGTTTTCGAAGCCTTATTTTGAAAATGTAATTATATGTTATTGTTGAACTTTGATCAGCTATGAAAGGTACAATCATTATACTACTTTCTAAAATTTCTATTTCAGACTTCTTTCTAAATGCCGTGCCGTATTTAAAGTAATAATTACGTTTATTAATACTGATTTATATTTGATAATTCTAGAAAGTTATTTTTCGTAAGGCTGTCATTATTGAAACAAATCCGTTATTATTATGTGTATTATTATGTTGGGTATGTATTCGTCGAAAGATGCGGCAAGTTAACTCCTAAAATTTTTTGTTACCTAAATTTGAATTAATTATTAATTGTTGTTTTGAAAGTAACGTATGAAGATTTTTATCGACCGTCCGTTTGCATGGAGACGTATTTGAGACGGTAGAACCATGTAATATGACTCCATACTTCCTAGTTAATTTTTTTTTCTTTGCCGTTCAGTCTATTAATGACGCAGTGGAGAAAATCGCTAAACATTGGTAATTCAACCAGACTTCAGAATCCTGGAGACGGGCTAGCTGCATTTTGGGAGACGGACTATGAGTATTTTATTATTTTTCTAATGTGTGAAGTGAATATGAATTAGGTTTTCACTACAGCATCATAAACAGAGATAGCTTTGCGCGCTAATCTTATGCATTGCAATGAAGTTTCCTGGCAAAAATTAAAAAAAAAAATTTTTTTTTTAAAACTTATTACCTGAAAAACGTATTTTTTACTTTCACTTTGCAATTAAAAGTTTCTGCTAATATAATACGATGACGCACAGGATACTCTTTATCTTCAGATTAATACCACTACGTCCTTTACGTACTTTTTGGACGATAAAACATAGTGGATCATAAAACGCAGCAATACTTTATGACAAAATTTTAGACAAATATATTTTCATATTTGCCACGCAGAGCCGTGCATAGATAATTTTTCATCTGATGCAAGAAGGTAAATTCGCTTATAAAAAGCTTAATATATTCAATACCTGTAATTCTATACACGATAAATATTTTAGCTAACCGTAATAAAACTGTAAAAACCCTAATATAATAATATTAAAAAATATTTTAGGAAATCATAACTTTTATAGTAATTTTAATCACAATGCTTTGTACCCCCCCAAAAAAAATAGTACACGGAACGTGTTTTGTTTTAAAAAAAGTCTTAAAATACGCTTTAACTAATTCAACTAAAATATATAACTTTGAAAATTTTAAATTGTTATCAGTAGCGTAGCTAGGATTCCAGCGCCCGGGGACAACTGAAGAATTTTCGTTCCTTTCAGTGTGCCAAGAAATGGAAAACATTTCATTAAAAAATTTCGTACCATCAATTTGGCGCCGTCTGGACGCTGCGCCCGTGGACAGATGTCCCCCCTTGCCCCACCCTAGCTACGCCACTGAGTGTTATGAAATTAATATAGAAAGATATTGCACTTATTTTCAAGACAGCGTTTCATAATTCAGCCTTCCACTTATCGGAGAAAAAATATTAATTTTTCCAAAAACTATTTGATCACTTAATTCATGTTTTGTAGAATGAATATCCATCTTCAAAAGCTTTTGTAGGCCAAGCGAAAAGTTCATATAACTGTTTATTAACTCTACTGAAGTTTCTTTCACCTATGCAACAGAAATTGGCAACATTAGCAACGTTGGTTATTTGAATATAGCAAAGCAAAGAGGGCTATTTGCCTAAAGGCAAGGATTCCCTAATGGAGGACTGGCTTATATTCCAGTTACACATAGGGAAAACCATAAAAAAACATTCTTGCAGCTATTCCGATCGCCCGGGTTCCAACCCGGGTCTAACAACCAACACTCAGCGAGCGGTCTTAACCATTCGGCCACTTTTAAAGCAACAGAGAGGTTTAAACATATATTTAGGAGTACATGCACGCAATTTTGGAATTCATCTGTGACTGAACTAAAACGTATTCGCAAATTATATATAGAAGATCTTATAACTGTTTTACTGTTTGGAATTATTATAGTTGAATTGTTCTTAAAAATGTAAATGTCTCATGAAATTTCTACAGCATTTATATCATTTGGATATTTAAGCAACAAGTGACTTATTTAGACTGTCCAACAGAATTTTTCCACGGCCAGAAATTGAGCATCGGAAGTGCATGAAGGAATTATTATAATTAGCTTATCGTCAGAAAAGTAGCAAAGGCAATTGTTGTCGAATGAAATATACAAAATGTTAAAACCTTAAACAAAAGAATAGTATGTAATTATAATAATTATATGTATCTTAATAACAAAATAATACGTAATTATGATAACATATTTATACGTAACTGAATAATTACATGTAACTGTTCATAAGCGGTCAGTAATAAAAATAAATAAAAATATAACAAATAAATATTTTTAAATATTTTATAGAACTATTAAATGAAATTTAAAGCTGTAATATAATAAAAAAATTTTATGTGCACACCACATGACTTCCTTGTACGGAATATTAAAGTATACGCTTTTTTTTTTTTTTTTGGCATTTCAATCAAAACTTATTGCATTGAATTAAATTTATTTCGTAGATAATGCATAAACCACAATAGAATAAATGCACTCTTTAAAATTCACTATATTTGTTTACCATAGCGACACTCTGGCCGTAAGTTCACTTAACAGCGTTAAATTTCATTTATTTTTTAACTCAGAATGCACAAAATTTATATCACCTTAAGAATTATCTACATATTCCACATATTCTATTCACATACTATAATAAATCTAAAACGATGTATAAAAGAAATTAAGCAAACAAAAAAAAAAAAAAAAAAAAAAAAAAAGTTTTTCACAGATGATTCAGTATTTCTCATTCAATTAACTCGGTTTTTACTTCGCAACAAAGCAAAAATACATAAAAACTTAAAATATCTGTATTGAAAACTATGAAGTGAATCTTAAACACGTATTTCCTCGAATGAATTCTAGAATGGATTAAGAAGGATTTAATTCACAATAATAAAAGAAGGCGTTATCTTTTGTTTTTGCGAAGTTTACTTTCTCTAGATTGGCAACAAATCTTCTATTCTGCTGTTTCAAATGTAAACAAACATAGACGCCGTTGCAAAAATAATTAGGCTTAGCGGCACTTAAACAACTTTTAAATTGTTAATAATTCTAAAAATATCACATGCCGGAAGAGAAATTTCATTTTTAAATTCATTTTCATTTTTAAATTCAATTCATTTTTAAAGCACAGTGCTTTAAAAATGATTGAATGATT